TCTTGACCGAGTGCTTTTATATTTAACATGGCACACTGCAAATGTTTGGGGTTTTTTGATTACAGATAAACTGTTTTCTATGTGCAATAAGCTTTTCTATAGTCAGAATAGCCTACCTATCTAAACAGAAAAAAATTAAAAGAGGCTCGTGTGAATTAGAGGGATTTTTTCCCTCCCTTATGGCCCTTTCCAAGAATAATATTTTATTACCCCAGTCTGTGTAATTATACCTATTACAAAGAGATACAAATCAAAAGGGAGCCCTGACTGACTTACTGTTTGTATCTGACACAACATGACTTTACTGTAGCAGCATTTCAGATGAATCATTATGGATTATTGCAAAAACATACAGGTGTTTAAAAGAAATGTTGTGTAACAAACGAAAGCATTGTGAAAATGATAAAACACATTATCCCAGTTTAATTAAAAAAAGCATATCAACAAACAAATGGATTAGTCTCACGCATATTTACTGTTGCTATGGTAAACAACATAGACGGGAGCATAAAAATCATATAACAAAACTCTACAGAGGACAAAATTGCCAAAATGACTATCCTTTATACCAAAACTTGATCATAGATGATAAATACCCTACAGTGGGTCAAAGGTTTGAACTCTGTGCCCTCTGATGGTATTTTATTACAGGCACTGTGTTTTTGCTCATGCTGGAATGGAAAATGTGAGCATATAGTATTTGATGGGCTGACACTAAAACAGGTTACGCAAGTGTGTTGTGCAAGTGAACATTCCTTCACCAGCCACAGGATAGCAATTAACTGAACATACAGCCCTTTAAAGTAAATCCCTCTCTCTTTATATGATCTGAGCATTATTATAATTCTGTCTCGGGGGATTTAGAAAAATCAACATCTAAGATAAGTATAAGAAATCTTGCCATGTTTAAACTTTTCTTCAAAACCGAGAAAACGTGTTTGAATCGTTTTAATTATGGCTGTACCGGATTCAGATATCTAAGACTTAAATGTGTTTTTGGGGGCCATATTTCCCCCCCGGAAGCTTTATTGAAAAATAGGTATGTTTTACCCCCTCCTCCACTGACCGCTTGAATTATAGAAGACTTCTATTGATAACCAAACTCCATGTTATACTGTGCAGTGGCATACTAAATACATTTACATAAGGAACAGAAATTGTGCCATTTATGAATGATTTCAAGAAATGCAGAACTTGTTGAGGAATTCTGCTGTTGAAGATTCCTTGTCGGCCTATGATTGATTCATTTACTCAACTGATTCGTTCAAAATTATTATATACAAGAAACATCTATCTAAACATTTCATGAAATGCTCCGAAAAGGTACATTTGTAAATATATGAATGTATGAATGTATTTTTAGTTCTGTCATCACTGCCATACAGACTGATTGATGAAAGCGGACAGATAGAAGACTCTCTTGTTCTGATGTTCAGCCTGTCAATGGCAATAGCCAGAGCAATTAAGAACCATGCTTTAATGTTGACCTGGGGACCATGGGAAGGTCATCTGAGGGGTGTCTAACTCCAAGGCTTTTGAAGAACAACACTGATAAATCTGGAGTGACCAGGCACTGATGAAAGCCTTCTATTTGACCCAGCTCGCCACGCACAGGTAATGATCCTGTCTTTTATCTTCAGATACCTATTTTGGATTATAGGGTGGCTCGGTGTGAGTACCAGCTTCCTACACACTCGGACACAGAAACCGCCTCTGTGAAAGTGCAATTCAATTTCATTTAATTACTACCTCTTTAAGTTCTTATTGACTGAGCTCAGATGGTTTACTAGTTTCAAGTGATTGAAGGCAAGGATGGAGAACAGTATAAGCTTCAAGGGTGAAAAGAACTAAATTGTGAAGCTGAAAGCACACAGATTAAAGATGTAAATTTCGGATGATTGGCATCAAAGAATCAAAACAGATGCTGCTAAAGGGCATTTGAATAGCACAGTAAATTATCCACTTCAGCAATTAACTTGCATTTTTGGCACAAGAAAGACAGCACTTGCAGATCTCAGTTAGCCTATGCATTTACATAAATCTTTTTTTTTTTTTTTTTTTTTTTTTGTGGTTGGGAGGTTTGACGTTCGTTTTTAGTGGATAACAAAATTAATTAGCCTATACCAAATCTTGGAGCTGACAGTTATATGACTTCAGAGGAGCAAAGCATTTCACTTTTATAATGTTGTGCAGCACTGGGACTTTTCAGTGTATATTCAACTTTTGTGCAAACATTCTTGACAGACTGTCAGTCTTTTTTTTATTGGATTTAGATTAGCAACAACACGTGTTATATATATATACATATATATATATATATATATATATATATATATACATATGCATATACACTTTACATCAACTTTTATGGTAGATGCGATTAATTGATTGGACAGCACTAAGAAAAATGTATAATTTGTTCAAACTTCAGACAATGTGAATAACCTGTGCCATTTTTTTTTTTTTTTTTTTTTTACATTTACACACGCATGGACACGGATGCTTTCATTTTTTTTTTTTTACATTTCCAAGTACTTTTTACTGTCCAAAGTGAAATCAGTGACTAGGTGAATCATCAAGACTTTTTGTGAATATTATCACAAGGTTCATAACTTCCTGTGAGCATCTTTATCATAGCCAATGTGTCTCTCAGTGGCTTCCCCACCTTGGGCTGAACACTTGCTTTCCAAAAACACAATAACGTATATTTAGCCTCACTGATAAGCATGAAGAGGGAAGACGATAATCTGTAAGGAGCAGCATTCTCACTCCCAAGTGTGTGTAGGATGGCATCTCAATGGGCGGAAGTGTTTGAGCCTCGACTGTCGACAGGGAGGACAGGGGCCACTGGCCCAACACCATCAAATGGAGCTTGTTGCAACGGCTCTATAAGTGTCAGAGTGATAAATGAATCTTATAGAAATACATCAATAATAGTCAAGCTAACAGGGAAAGTTCTCAGAACTTTGGCTAACATTCTGTCGAGGTTCGGCTAAAATTCTGTCGAGGAAGTTATCTGTTGTTTTAGTTGGATGTTCGTCTTATTTAAATGTTAGGCCTACTACTAACTACTTGTTGTAAAAAATGTTCAGAGTACATTCAAAAGTAAAATTCCCACAATGTTTACAATTAATAAAAGGAACGTTCCCTTGACGTTTTCTCCAATGTTTGCATGCAAAAACCAAGAACAAGTTTTTAATACATTTTGGACATTTTGAACAGTCAAAAAACATACAGTATTTTTGTTATCTGGGACAGAATTGTTATTTAATCCCTTTTGTTAAAGCCATTTTCTAGTGATATTAACTTTAAATTTGAAACACAACTTGCGTGGACATGGCTTTGCTATTCTAGCAATTCCACATTATTTTCTAAAAAATACAATTTGTGTAAAATAAAAATGTTTAGTTCAGTGCATTTACTTTAAAGTTGCTCTATAGCTTTACTTTACTGACAACTATTTAATGTCAGATCTATGCTCAAAAGGGGGGTGATATTTAAAGGGATAGTTCACCCAAAAATGAAAATGTACAATTTTGGGTGAACTATCTCTTTAACAGGTTAATTAGACATGCCAGTAAATATTAAGTATAAATATGCTCACTATTCCCACCTAACTTCAACAATCATCCTGGTTTCACAGACAGAGCTTAAATTAACCCAGGATTAGGCCATAGTTCAGTCAGGACATTTAGGTAGCTTTTATAAACATTACTGGTGTGTATCTTCAGACAAAACAATGGCACTGATTTTAAGATACAGTATGTCAGTGCATGTTGCTTTGAGTTAAAATAACTCAAACATGCATTTTGGTGTGGAATTAGGCCTAAACCTTGTCTGTGAAAAAGGGTGATTGTGTATTATTTATTTTTTTAAACAGGCTAGCGTAAGTGATTTATGCTGTGCGGTCGAGCTGACGAATCGTATCATTCATCCCACTTGCAGCCAGAGGTTATCTGTAGGGATGTACTACATACAGGACCGTGCTGCCGGCTTTGAACAACGCACGCCCTTTTCCGATTCCTACACAATGAAAGGCAGGGTTGAGAGGCCTCCAGGGTGCGACAGAAAATGATAGCGCTGAGGTCTGATGAGAATTGTGATGGAAAGCACAATGAGAGGAGTAAAGAGCAAAGCACCTCGACTCGGCTGTTCCAAAATCCAAAAAACAGCCCAGCTTTTCAATATAAGTGCCAATAAAGAGTTGTTTTGGTCTTTAGGCCATTTCCTAATGTTAAATGCGGTTTGCAACTCATTTTACCTCTGTTATGTGACATATTTCTCAGTGAAACAGGATATTTCATGAGAAAATCTGCAACGCATTGTCATCCTAGGGCGTCATATACAGTAGTGACGCTTTTGACGTTGCGCCTATATCTGACACACACCCTTTAGCGTCAATATAACACGATTCGGTTATGGGTAGGTTTAGGTCTGTGGTAGTGTTAGGATTAGACCACTAGGAGGCGCCTTCTGGCCCACATATATCTGCGTCTCATAAAGGGTGCCATGTGCTTTAGATGTATACAACTTCAAAAATGTATGGGGTAAGACTTAATTTCATCCACTGGGAACTGATTGGATTGTGCAAAGTGGCTTTTACCAGAATGAAACCAAACCGAATGAGAATCTGCTAAAACAATGGCATTGATTAACATTTTCAAAAGCCAACGAAGAAAGGTCCTTTCAGAGGAATAGCAAGTTATTACTCTTTTGATTAAAGATCACAAGCATATTTTTTTCTTATTAACATGGATTAATACCGTAAATATGGTCAGATTTGAATTCATGTTCACTTTAAATGCAAGTGATTGAACATTAAAATGCTTCATTAGTAGAGAAATCATTTTATCATAAAATCCGATGATGGTTAATATCTGCTGAAAGCAAAGGGAGCCTCCGGCCACAAGCTTTAGTTCCTCTTCTCACCACTAGGAGGCAATCTCTAACTTTTCATGAAATAATCAGAAGTGACAAAACATTTCAAGCAATCACTAAAATACTAATTAAAAGATTGGTGTTGCTTTATTGAAGAATCAAACCCACTAAGACAGATAATATGCATTGCATTAATATACTGATGCATGTGGTTGTTTCCATGAATTGAACGAGCATGAAACACTTTTATGATACCGAATGTTTCTTAATTTTGTTATAATTTCAGATATGCTGTGCATGAACGTTTATCAAGATGATTTTATGCTTTTACCCTGAGATGAATTTTCAAGACAGTAATAGATCAAAACAGGTACAGTATTACAAAAGTAAAGACATACAAAATGATGTATAACAATGAAACATTCTCAGTGCTGCTTTGGAGCTCACACACTCTTCATGTATGCGTGTCAAACCTTTCCAAAACGGTAAATTAGCACCAAGAGCTATGAAGCGAGCGCATTAGAAACTAACATTTGAAATAATAACAACAATCATACACCTTTTTAATTGCTAGTGTTTAACAATGATTACAGACATGATCACACAATGTTATCTTTCGCAGACTGGTGGGTTCTGAACTGAGGCAGGCCTATACTGATGTGAATTATCACGGATAAGTTTTCAAATACGGTTATCAGTTGTTTTGACTGAGCTGTGAAATTATTAGTCGTTTAATTGGCATAGAACTTGAATGGCCTACGGAGGAATTGTGACAGCCATTACAAATGTGTAACTCTACCTCAGCTCTATTCTGCCAACCCCCATGGAGAAACATTGTGTTGTTAGAAAACTAATGAAGTGCTATAAAAAGCAGTTTAAGGCAATCAAGATAAATTGGTACAGTATAAATAGCATTCGGTGTAGAGTACTTTCAATACTTTGAAGAGGAAAAACTAGGACTTTCAAAAGCCAAATGTTTCCATCAGTCTCTTTATGTACTGTTTGTTCTCACTCTACTCAAAACAAGCGGTTGGATCCCAGTGGGAGAATCCCATCAAAGTCTCTCAAAGCAAAATCCGTTAGGCAAACAGAAGCCTAAAGATCTGCCAGATGACAAACAATTTCAAGGCAGAGGCTTGAAGCTTGAGTTTAGCACCATGCGAAATCAAAGGCGTCACTAGACGAGTGCTAACATCACATGGAGTTTGTTGTGATGAACACGTAGATGCGGGCCAGGAAAGTTGTGAAGGTTCCTTGACGGAGCAGCTTCATTTCCACGTCGATGAGGAAGTCCCGTGGCTCCCGCACCTGCCGGTTCAGGTACACGGCGCCCGTGAAGCTGTTGAGCTTCCGCGTGCTGAAGTAGCCTTCCTCGTTTCCGCGAGGGATGCTGATAATAATGTTGTCGCCCGAGTAGGCAGGGGAGGGTCCGATGCGGAAGATCTGTGCTGGGATGATGATGTTGGTCTGGAAGCTCAGTTGGTAGTATGTGATGCGTAATGGCATAGTCTGGCATTGCTGGAAGTTGGGGCAACTCATTCGCTCGCAGCGTCTAAAACATGGGAGAGGTGAGAGTTTTGGTCCAAAGAATGTGTTTTAGAGTTTGTTCTGCAAAGACCCTGGTCGAAATTGTGTTCTAAAGTCAAATATTTAAAATGGCTCTTCTAAAGGGATAGTTTAACTAATAATGAAAATTCTCATGTTGGTTCAAACCTGTTAGACTTATACTTTCTTCTGTGGAACATAAAATATGATATTTTGAAAAATGTCTGTTCAAAGTCAATGGGATCCAATGTTGCACCCTTAATTCTACCCATCTCCACCCCCTGATCTCTAACCCCACCCTTAATTCTAGCCATCTCCACCTCTGATCCCTAACCCCACCCCTAATCCTACCCATATCCACCCCCTTATCCCTAACCCCACCCTTAATTCTACCCATCTCCACCCCTGATCCCTAACCCCACCCTTAATTCTACACATCTCCCCCCTGATCCCTAACCCCACCCATAATGCTATACATCTCCACCCCTGATCCCTAACCCCACCCTTAATTCTACACATCTCCCCCCGATCCCTAACCCCACCCCTAATCCTACCCGTCTCCACCCCTGATCCCTAACTCCACCCCTAATCCCACCCATCTCCGCCTCCTGATCCCTAACCCCACCCCTAATCCTACCCATCTACACCCTCTGATCCCTAACCCCACCCCTAATCCTACACATCTCCGCCCCCTGATCCCTAACCCCACCCCTAATCCTACCCATCTCCACCCCCTGATCCCTAACCCCACTGTATGGACAGTTAACATTCTTCAAAATATTTGACAGAAGAAAGACAGACATTGGAGTCACACAACGGTGAGAAGAAAATACATAACAGAACCAAACCAAACAAAACAGATAGAAAAGAAATGAAACACAAAATAAAACAAATAATTTAGCACAATATAAAACAACAGCATAACGTAACAAAACAGAAACATGAAAAATGAAACAAAACAAAGAAAATCATTGGAAGGACATAGGGGTAAGTAAATGGTGACAGAATTTCCATTTTTGAGTTAATTATCCCTTTAGCTTGAATGCCGAGTGATACCTCAAACTGTGTGGATGATTGTGGAGAGCTGTGCTGTTACTTTCATAAACGTGATTTTGGGCTTTTTTTTATTTGGATCAATAAGAACCATCAAGCAACCGATAAATAACATAAAACGCCTGATGTCTTGTTCCACAGGTTAACTAAATATGTTGTACAGCCTGACATGCCAAAATAACAAAGTAATACAGCGATACGGTCTCCTAAAATAACACTGCACAACCCATATGTACAGTTTCTCCGTAGGTGTTTTTGCCCCTGCTGACTCTGGGCTGTTAATCTCTGATATAGCAGTGAATCTCAGGAGGGCTGATGGTGAGCAGTGGGAGTTCCCACCAATCAGAGTTCTTGCTGACACTGGCCAGACGTGTGTGTTTGAACTACTGCCTAATCAAAGCAATCTGGCTTCATTCCATTTGCTTAGCAGAAACCATGCTCTGTAAGGGGCCAGCATCAATTCAGATGGCACAAGGATGCTACAGTGAATGTATTTATGTTCTAAGCAGTGCAAATGTACTGATCCAGTATATGTGCATGTGCATCTGTATGATTTCTAGTTTAACCATTACGCAATTTATTTCTTGATAAATGCCCACAGATCCTACATTTTTCCTGCATTACGCAGTTTGAAACTTCTGATTACTATGGTAAGTTGGATAGGGTCTAGCCACGCTAGCAGGTTCACTGATCGAGCCCATATGTGATCTGCATGATAAATGTGATCTGTAAAGAAAATCAGCGGGTCGTACTTACGTGTCCGACACTCTCCTGTAGTTGTCTGGACATGCAAATGACAGGCAACGAAAGCCTCCCTGGATGTTGAAACAGGTCTGGGAGGAAGAGCAATTGTGCGATCCAATGGCACATTCATCAATATCTGAGAACAAAAGGGAAGACAACAGCTAAATAAATTGAGTTGGTAAAAATTAAAGCATCTGAGACTGCTTAAAACTTTCATTCTATTAGTCCATTCCTGAATGTTCTTTATCGTTATTTCTCCATACATAAAAAAAGAGTAAATGGAAATTCAATAGTGAATCAAAAGTGAATCAAACTATTAGACTTGGTAAAATTTTGATTACTTATATACCTAAATGGCAGCACATATTAAATTTGACCCGTTCTCAATCAGTGCTAGCAGGGTTGTCAGAGGGGCGACCGACGTCTGCGGTGACTAACTGCCAGGCTTCATTCTGCTTGGAGTCAATTTTGGCCCCTCCAGAAGTAATTAATTATGCATCTCATTTTACAAAAGCAAAGTCCTCGTTACAGCTCGCCGGCTCCAATTCGCAGAGTAATTCGTTTGGTACGGGCTAGCGCTAACCTCCGGGAGCATGTACAGGCTCTTCTTCACCTCTCATCGACTTTCCTATCTTGATAGCCTGAGGGAGTTTCGTCAATTTCGTGATCTTTCAGAGAGCGATGGAGGACACCAAGCAATGCTGTATTGAACCTGAGGTTAGCGCCTTGCAACTCAATGTGCCAATTAGAGAAATTAAAGCTTGAAATTGAGTTTGTACCATTTGGCTTTTGGAAAGGTGTTGGGTAGAATATGAACGGGAGTTTAAAGGGATTGTTCACCTTAAAATTATATATATTAAAGACAAGACCGATATTGTTCAAAATTCATGTATAACTTTGATGAAAGGTTTTGATCCACTTCGCATGTTGACTCTATCTACAGTATCTATCTATCTATCCATCCATCCATCCATCCATCCATCCATCCATCCATCCATCATAATGCATTACTTTTAAAAGTAACTTTTCCAAACACTGAACATAATATAAAACATAACATGTTAAGATAAATTCTGAACATTTGGTCTCATGCTTTGTGCTTTTATTTTAAATCAAAGACTTAAATGCAATATGATAAACTTATAGTGTTACCTTGACAGGTGCGTCCATTAGGTGACATGGAGTAACCATAGGGAGGGCAGGCACATTTGTAGCTACCAAGGACATTCACACACTGGAATGCACAGAGGTTTCCAATGCTTTGTGAGCACTCGTCTATATCTAGAGAACAAACAAGAACATCTTTATCAGTGAGAAAACTAGCTTAATAAAGAACATCACAACAAACCACTGTGCAAAGAAACACAAGAAACTTGCCAAGAACACATTAATTACTATGATGATCTGAAAAAAAACCCCCCAAACATCCTTATTAAAAGATTCAAGACATTATCGATCCAATATCCCTATTACAGGAAAACATCACATCATCTCTTCAATCAACATACTGTATAATGTGACTGTGTCCTTGTGTTTAACCCTTAATGGGTATGAAATGGATGGTAAGGAGGTAAGTGGTCTCAACAGACTTGGCCATCTGACCAATCAGAACAGAGTAGGCTCTCAGAAAGGAGGGGTTTAGGGAGATCGGATCCTTCATCAAACCGTTTTAGACAATGTGAGGAAAGAGGTAATGGTGCAATGTAGAATATATTATGAGAAAATGAAAGTGTGTTTGACCTTGGATGCATGTAGGCCTACCGTATAGGAGAACCTTTAAAATTTCATAATAGGACACTTGAATCCACTTCCTACGTTGATGACATTGATATCACCTCACCTTCACACGTGTGCCCGTCCTCTTTAAGGTAGTAGCCCATTCGGCAGTAACACTGGTAAGATCCATAGATGTTTGCACACTCCTGACTGCATGGATTGTTGTCACATTCATTAACATCTATGAGAGAACACAGACAACGAGTTTTTAAAACATATTTTTGTGTGTACACATTTGCATAAATCATTACAGCCGTGTGCATATTGGCAGTGTGCTCATGTCAATGCAAATGTGCAGTGGAGTCCAAAAATCTGAGACCTCCTTAAAAATCTGGTGAATCTAATGAAAAACCTGTAAATAATTTTTAAGCAGATTCGTATATAAATATAATTTCAAATGGTCTGTGTTGTGATAGAGTTAGTATATGTAGAAAAATGTTTTCAATGTTTTCAAATATAGTTTGTATTTAACAAATTGTGGTTAACTATTTGGCTAATTATGTGATGTAAGTGTGTTGCTGTGTCTGTCATGCTGTGTTAAAGCATTTGTAAATAAGATGATTTTGGTAATGGGTAAGCTTGTGTGAAAATTTAAGCATTTTAGGAAATGTGCTAACTGACTGCATATTGTGTGAAAACAACCTGCATTGTGTTAATAGTCTGTTCACAAAAACAGATGTTGTGCTAATTGTTTTTAGAGGGAAAGTGTGGACAAGGTCTAAGACAAGGGTCTTAGCTCCTGGAGGGTCACTGTCATGCCAAGTAAAGCAGTAGCACCTCATTGCAGTACACAAGATCTAGGGGGCAGTGTTGGATTCATATCTAAGGGGTGGAGATGGGTAGGTTTAGGCATGGGGTTAGGTATCAGGGGTTGGAGATGGATCAGGGGGTGGAGATGAGTAGGTTTAGGGGTGGGGTTAGGGATCAGGAGGTGGAGATGGGTGGGGTTAGGGATCAGGGGGTGGAGATGAGTAGGTTTAGGGGTGGAGATGGGTAGGATCAGGGGTGGAGATGGGTAGGATTAGGGGTGGGGTTAGGGATCAGGGGCGGAGATGTGTAGGATTAGGGGTGGGGTTAGGGATCAGAGGTCTGAGATGGGTAGAATTAAGGGTGGGGTTAGGGATCAGGGGGTGGAGATGAGTAGAATTAAGGGTGGGGTTAGGGATCAGGGGGTGGAGATGAGTAGAATTAAGGGTGGGGTTAGGGATCAGGGGGTGGAGATGGGTAGGATTAGGGGTGGGGTTAGGGATCAGAGGGCAGAGATGGGTCGAATTAAGGGTGGGGTTAGGGATGAGGGGTGGAGATGGGTAGGTTTAGGTATGTAAGGTGGGAAGAATTGGATCTGGATCCAACTCCTCCCCCGTGTCTTTAGTAAATCCTGGCAGTAACTTTTTAATGCCAAAAGAGGGTTTGTGCTGTTTGAGCTGTTACTAAATCCGGCCCTAATTCTGCAAAACGACACATGGAGTGTATTATATATTTTAATACTGTTGCCCCTTTGAAAGCAAACTAAAAGTCACCACATGAATTGTTCCTCAAACTGTCAAGCGCCAAAGTCCTTGAAATAAACTCTGAATACCCATAAGAATCTGTCCAAATATTGTGACTAGTAAATACAAGAAGTGGCAAACACACTGACAGCTCACTCATCTTTTTTTGTTTTTAGCTCTCTGCCTCATTTTAATTGGAAAGAGAGAACATTGATACTGTCAGAGCACAACACATTCTTTGTAGGTCTGACCCGTGTTCAATTCTGCTAGTGCAAATGGATGTACCTTCACAGTTCTTGCCATCAAAGGCCAGGGAGAAGCCCGTGGTACAGGAGCACTGGTAGGATCCCGGTGTGTTATCACAGGTCTGGGCACACAAGCGGCCTGGGTACCGCCAACACTCATTTACATCTGCCAGCACAAAAAGATGCAGAGAAAAACAAAGTTTACAAACACACTGTAGTCTGGGGAGCATCTCTCTCTCTTTCTCCATCCGTATTTCTCCTTGCCTTGCTGTCCTCTTTCACTCCTCTATAGGAGCAGAAGGGATACAAGATTAGGATAATCTGCATGCTCTCTGGAGCATGAGCTGCTGTCAGCTTCATCTATATGCATGCTATTAGTCTGGCTAACCACAGAGAAAATGACGTCCTTTGGGTAATTCAGTCACAGTATCCAAACTGTTTTTAAATCCTTCAAGTGCTGTGGTTTAAGATACTTTGAAAAAAGGCGGAAGCTTGAAAGTGATTGAGGTCAGAAGATGAAAGTGTCTTTTTTAAAATGCTAAAATTTTTCCTCCTACTCTATACTTCCTCCTCTACTTTTCTTTCCCATTGTGACGTATATCTGAGTGAATGGCTTCTCGAACAAGAAAAAATGTAGGCCGGGACTTGATTTTGTCCATTGGGATTTGATTGGGTTGTTGTGGTTTGCTATTACTATGATCTCATGTGGGTGACAGGTTGCTGCAAGAGGGAGGGCCAAGCTTACTGTGTGCACTTGCTAATCTGAACAAAGATGTGTTTTGGCTGTGTACTTGTTGTGTGTGTCAGTGTATGTGTTGATACGCACCCACACAGAGCTGGCGAATGGTGTCATACTGGTAGCCGGTTTGGCAGTCACAGCGGTAGCTGCCGGGTAGGTTGTGACAGATTTGTCCCTCTCCACAGCGGTGGGTGCCCGTCTGACATTCATCCACATCTGCAGATCACATTCAGCAGTCTTACTAATTCTTGTAGACTTTAGAAGTCCAGTTAATTTTATACCAGAACAAAAAGTAATATACTAACATGTTTTTTCAAAGTTGAATCAGTAATGCTCTATTTTTAGTGATTTTTATCATCCTTTGTACTTGAATGGGACGTGAATGACGATTAAATTGCATGATATTATCTCACACCATTACACTGTGGTATTGCCACAAAAATGCTCTTAAAACAAGTGGAATTAGCTTTTGCCAATTAGCTTTTAAGCCAAAAAAAGAAATTGTCAAACAATCTATAGAACTAAAAACCCAAAGTTTTATGAAAGGTTTAGGTAGGCTAGGGTTTAAGAAGCATGTATATTTGTATTTGTCCTTACCAATACATCGTGCTCCATCAGGGCTGGAATGGTAACCCTGACTGCACATGATAATCTTGTGCTGACAGGTGTAAGAGCCCACAGTATTTATGCAGTTAAAGCCAGTCGTACATGGTTCTCTCACACTGCTGCATTCATCAATGTCTACAATAAAGTGATAAAACAAAGGCAAATCAAACAAAAAAGCAACTTTTCAAAAGTGTGTTTACTTAATGGGATTGTCATTTGTATTTTTCAGATTTGCAAACAGTGACAGTTTGGTATTCTTCATGCATTTGTCCTCTAGGGGGCACCGAGACTCTAAAGGTGTCTCTTGTCATACCGATGCAGTTGCCGTGTGAGTCTTGAGTAAATCCTGTGAGGCAGCGTTGCTTCAGGTTACACGTGAACGAGCCATCAGTATTCTGACATTGGAAGCCTATTCCACAGTTATGAGTTCGCATAACACACTCATCGATGTCTAGAAGAGAAAGAGTGCAGCAGACGTCAAACAGGCCAGTGGTTCAGACAGCTAGACACCACCCATTCGGGTTCCTGTACTGATAGATTTGTTTAGCTTTTGAGACTGATGCTGTTAGAAGGTCTAAACAAATGAAGTTACCTCTCATAAAGACTTCAAAAAAACTCTGTAAAGCTCACCAAATTTGGCAGGCATAGAAGCATAATGAATAGATGAGCGTCATCTGAGACACATGCTGGAGATTGGTTTGGACAGAGATCACAACAGTCCTCAATTAGGCCTACAAGTCAGAACTTCACAGTAGATGGCACTGTGGCTCAATAACAGGCTGGGAAAGCATGCTCACACATTTCAAGGCAGCTGGTCTCACAAAATCAAACCACAGTTTCTCCACAGTGAACATTTGCATGGAATTAAAGAAAACAATTTTACAAACACACAAAATTCTGGCTCACAAAACTTAATACGAGCATCACTGAAGATAATGATAACCTGCAGTTCCTAAAAAATGAGTCAGACTTTGATTCAGTAGCCAAATTCCACTCTGATGGATTCAGTTCAGAGAAGGATTCAAACGAGTATCTTGAACTCAAATTCATTAAAAGAATCATAATAGTGATCCATTCGGGAATCAGATTGCCATATAGTCGTGCTGATGTTTTGATTCACAATGTAGAATCAGCTCATTGAGTCATTTGTTAATGAATTAGACTGCACTGATCATGCATGCTGTATCTTTGACTGATTCACTAAAAGATCTGGCTCATAACGAGGCATTTATTAATAAATTGGACTGCACTGGTCACACTGTGTGTTTTTGAATCACTTAAGAACTGGCTGATAATGTTTAAGATTAGGAATTGGACTGCACTGGTCACACTGAGTATTTTTGAATCACTAAAACAAACAGCTCATAAGAGTAATCGTGTTGGTTAATCAGACTACTACACTAGTCATTGTAGCAAGTTATTTGGGAGAGAAAAGAAATATTTTTCTTGACATTATTTCACAGTACATCATTTAATTGCATTAGGCGACAGATTGCAAACTTGCATTCAAAACACAGGTAATAGCACCATTACCTAATGAGATCAAGCTAAGAAAAATATGTTGTGACAACACTGTTAAAGATCTCATTAAGGGGATAGTTCACTCAATAATGAAAATGATGTGATTCATTTCTCACCCTCATGTTGTTCCAAACCCGTAAGACTTTCGTTCATTTTCAGAACACAAGTGAAGTTCTTTTTGATTAAATCTAAAGAGATTTCTGTCCCTCTATTGACAGTTGCCCAACTACTTAGTCACTTCAAAAAGTTCATAAAGACATCGTAAAGCAACTTTATATTAATTAAGCATTTTAGTCCAAATTTTCTGAAGAGATTCAATTGCTTTAAATGATGAACAGATTGAGTTTAGGCTTTAATTCATCAACCTTCACACATCAGTTGCGGTAGGCGGAAGCTCAAGCATGTTCACTTGACTGTTAGTTCTTGCGTGTCAAGCAGGTTCAGTTCGCTGATCAACAACTACATTATTTCTGAATGTTCTTAATGCTCAAACCATCTTTTTTAATCATTTTTTAAAAGTTTTTTTTCTTAATTATATGAATGTTAAAGGAACATTCCATTTCATTATTCTTCAAACATTATCAGATTTTGTACTCTTGAATGTTATTTGAACATGTGAAGTAACATTTAAAAACATTAAACAAACATCCAATTAAAACATTTCAGAAAAAATAATTTTCACTTTTAGAACATTATTTAAAGACCAGTCTTTGTGTTATTAATGTTTCTGGAAGAATGTTTGTTCATAACTTTGAGAGAATCTTGCCAGAACATTAGGAAAGTTCTGAGAACATTTCCTGTTACCTGGGAACCCATTTATGGGTATTGGTGAGCCTTTAATTTCAAGTTAAGGTGGTCTTTCAAAATCCCACAGTTGCACTGGATGCATTTTCAACTGTCCAAAGCCAATTAGTTAAAATCCATTAATGCTATTCCATAACTTTTCATAATTATCCATCCACACTTATTAGAATGCGCCGGGCCAAGTCCTGACAAGAATCAGAAACTCTTGCTAAGTTTTCTCTGTTAAAAGGCAATGGTCTAAGCATCTGCTTTGTGTAAAAACAGAGTGCGGGATGCTTAAGATGTTAGCAAGCAAGAGCCCGAGGCAATCGGCTGTGGCCTCTTTCAAACTGAGAAGGCCAGCAAAAAATATCACATTTTATTGCACAGATTGATGCATGGTTTCTGGTTCTTCTCTGCAGCGGTGATGGTGGTGTTTAGATGATGAAGACACTGGTCTGAGATCTGTGGAGTAATGTGGGCTAGAGGACTATGACAAGGATAGACGACAGTTTGTTATTGATTCTGGGCAGTTCTGATGGCTGGGGAAGAGTTGGACTGTTGCCATGTCTCTGCTGATTTGATCTCACATAAAAGCAAAGTTCACATGACATAACTCTCAATGTATTTAAATTAATACAACAATGCTCTCTGCGGACTTTTAGTGAAATTAAAACTTAAGGGCCATTCACATAGAACGCATTTTTGTAGTTAAAAAGGTAAGACTCAGGTCAGTGGAAATATATGTTTTTTGTAAAAGTTCTTTTAACTTGAGTGCCACGTTTTTATAACACCGTGTCATGTGTGTGACGTTGCGAAAGATGCAAGACGTTACAGCAATGGTCAAACATGTCCATCTAGTGCATCATTTTTGTGCCACTAGCATTACCAAATTTACAAATAATGTTTGTTTTCAAGCACTCCTCCATTAGTCATATGCTGATTTCATGCAGCCTCCATTTTGAAATGGCTCCGGTGGGAAGAAAGCCGGAAGCGTCACCTTTAATCATAGGAGAGTCGCGAATACGATAGTGTATTGTTGTGTTTAATGTAGAAATTGGTTATTCTAACATTTCTTTCATACTTTAGACTACTGTATATACCATGAAATGTTTATATATATAATTCAGAATGTAAATAAAGAAGCAGGAACAAACTATATACATTTCCTATATTGGATATCAACATCCAGTAGTGTACAGTAAATCGCAGCAGCAGTTCAGTTTAACACAGTCTCTTTCCAAGACGTCATATGACTGACGTCTTGGGACGTCTTTTGACCATCCGTCAACATCCGCCGTTTTAGGGTAACGTCAGTTACATGACGATCCCGGGCCGCCATACAACTGACGCTTTACCTTTAACGTCGGTTAGGTGACGGGGTAGGTTTAGGGGTAGGTTTAGGTCTGGGGTAGGGTTAGGATCCGATAACGTCATCTAACCGACGTTAAAGGGTACCCTAAAACGGCGGATGTTGACGTATGGTCAAAAGACGTCAGTTATATGACGTCTTGGGATGAGACTGCGCTGTTCAGTTTGGTAGTCCAAGGCATTGTTGTTTATCTGTACTTCCGGGGTTCTTCCCACCGGAGCCTTGCTTTCGATTTCAAAATGGCGGCTGCGTGAAATCAGCGTATTGATCAGACAAACTGATAATGCCCCCCTCAAATTCACACCATTGCTTAAACAAATTATGCAAAGTAGGGTTGGTGAGCCAGATCCTTATTCAGAAACAAAAGTTATAACCTTCATGTCTGACTCAAAATTTAAAAGAGAAGATATTTTGAAGAATGTCGGTAATAAACAGTAGATGTGCCCGTAGAAAAATAGATTTTTTCCATACAATGGAAGTCAATGGGGTGTACTGTATATCAACTGTTTGGTTACCCATATTCTGCAAAATATATTATTTTGTGTTCACCAGAAAAATTAAATTCATACAGGTTTGGAACAACATGAGGGTGAGTAAATGATGACTTTAAGCTTTAAATTAGGAAAACAAAATGATGTTGTGTGTGTGTGTGTAAGTATTTGCTGATACTATAGCCCCAACCCATGCACCTTCACACACTCCACTCCTCAGCTGGTAACCGCTCGAACATTGGATCTGCCTCTCGCACACAAACCCTCCTACCGTGTTCACGCAGCGCTCGTCTGCCTGGCAGGTGTGTGTGTTCGTCACACACTCGTTCACATCTGCAAAGCAAAAAGTACAGCATTATTTTGCTGGGCTCCAAAGTATAACATCCTTATACAGTGCCAGGAACATAAATGGGGAGCTACAAATGGAGAAGCTGAAGCTGGTGGAGAAGCAAGCAGGAGAGACAGCTGTGTAAAAAACATCCCATTGTGTTTCCACAAACCGAGGCACACATCAGGCAATTTGCTTCATGTCTTGAGTTCTGGCACTGTGGCGAACTGTCAAGATCTTCAGTTGGCCAGAATTATTAAAGGCAATAACTCTGGACTATGTTGAAAAACAAGATTGGAAAGCAAGCTCTACCCAGAGAGAGGAGAAAAATAATTACTTGAAGCTTACACAATGGCTGATTGGACATTGGAGGCCCAAAAAAAAAAAAAAGGATTCAATCTGTTATGTTTTTGCCAGAGTAAATAATTCCAGGGGACTGGGTGGAAATGTTTGTGCTTTCTTCTGGCCACATTAGGACAAAAGAGAAAAGAACACATGGTACCTTATCTGTTCCACACAACAGCTGGTAACACCATAGAGAAAACAATGAATTTGAATGTTTCAAAGTGTTTTGGATGCCAAAGCATTGAATAATATCAGAATTGCAAAAGTACTTGGTGTTGTTGTCATCCCAGTGGTAACACTTTGTGAATCTTGTGAATAGTGCAATGCAGAGGCAGCTGTAATATATATAGAGAGTGTGTCCAACCATCCAAAGCAAGTGTGCAGGAACCAAAACTGTTTGGTTACCGACATTCTTCAAAATATTTTGTTTTATGACTTTTTTATGTAAAGTCATACAAGTTTTGAATGACATAAGCATAAGTACAAGGTGATTGAATTTTCATTTTTGAGTGGACCAGCCCTTGGTTCATGCTTTAGTTACCAGGGAACCTAGATCACTCTCCATCTCTGTCTTTTTTTAAAAGGTTCCTGCATTCAAGTGCACATTATTCAGTCCCATAAGGCATATAGAAAGCAGATGACACCCTCTTGCACTCTGTCACAGATCCAGCACAGAAGTGTCAACAAGCTGCCTCATCGACATAGTGGCAGTGGCACTTATTCAAAAAATTTGCTTCATCATAACAATATGGTGAATTGCCTTCAAAATGTGGTAATCTGAAATGCATTAGATGATATGCATGGAATGAATAATGCATTTTTATGCAAAGTGAGAGGGTTATTAGTATTGCAAAGGGATGTGACTGCGGTGCATCAGGATTATGGTCTGTCAACATTATGTCCATATCACTGTTGTGATTGATAAGGGTTAAGATGAGAGGGTGATGATGACCGTCCAAGTTGGTTGCAAGCTTGGGTTCACCTTTTTCCCTGTAGTTGTTGTTTCTAAAACTATTTAAAATAGAGTAATTGAAATAAAGCCAAACTAAAATAAATATAAGATGAAAAAAAAAACAATGTTGCCTTGGTAATTAATTGAAATAAACAAGATTAACCAACCCGATCTCACGACCAAGTCGTATGAATTCGACGAATGATTAAAAAGTGGCTAATTCGTAACAATTCATACGACCTCACTCGTACGAATGAATACGATTTTGCTAAATCGTACATATTTTACGAATTGGCCAATTCGTATGAATTCGTACGAATGACCTACCCCTGACCCCGCCCCTAAACCTAACCATCACGTGGGTTAAGACAAATCATACGAATTAGTACGAGTGAGGTCGTACGAATTAGACACTTTTTAATCATGCGTCAAATTCGTACGAATTGGTCGTGAGATAGTGTTGCGTGTTAAACCCTTGCTAAAGTTAAATGCATGAATGTTTCGCCAATCCTTATTACATTTTCGGGTCTTTAGCGATCCGGATCTACATCTAACACGGATGGATCTCGTCTGTCGCGATAATATAAAACTCTCCTGATATTAGAGGAACAATTACAGAAGAATAAAATAAAGCATATTTTGTTACCTTTTGGAAGGGTTCAGTTTGAGCAAATGTTTTATACCATCATCACTGCCCTCGTCAGAACAAATTTCCCAGTACATTCAACATCTGGCTCATATTCTCAAAAATATTCTCAAAACTTTCATTTTCAACATCTTCAAAATCAATATTTTGATCGTTGACAGCTTCTTCACCAGACCCAAGTGACAGTGACAATAACATTTGATTGTGTTCAGTACTTGCTCTGCAGTATCGCTGAGCCATTTCAATGATAATTCCTATTCTTTTGTTTTCTGCCTGCCGTAATAATGAGTGAAACGTCACTTCATCATTGTGTATCAGACATTGCCACTTTGTGGAATAAAGGTGAACTGATCTTTTTCAGTAATCAAATATTCAATTATTGTTTTGCAGAAAAAATATATTTTTTACACTGTTAAACATCTTGTTTTTCTTGTTATGTAGTTATAATGAATTGATTGATAGGTTGATGTCTAACTTAAAAAAAGGGAGGGGGGGGGGGGTAGTAAAAGATCCTTTGGGTTACTAAAGAAGTTTAAGGGTTTAAAGTACTAAAATTACTAAACTGAAATAAATTACAGCTAAATACATATATGTGTCTGCCGCTCGTGTGTATATATATTCAAAAAAATAAAGATAAAAGCACATAAAAAATTTAACTACCTAACTAAAGTTAAAAAGCTAATTCAAAATGTTAATAAATGCTTCACTAGTACAGTATGTAATTAATACTAAAATAACAATTATGAGTTGACTACTGAATGGACATTTGCACATTCACTTTTGTACTTCTATGAGAGAACAAAAGAGAGAATCAAATATATTAATAATCATTTAAATAATAGAATACATGCCACAGGTTTTCACGTGTATCATCAAACACAGCATGCTAGTTTTAATATGAGAGAGGCAGGCAAGATTTATTAATCTTATTAATCATAATCAATTGATGAATGCACAGCATGTCATGCATGCTCATTATAATTTACTTCATTAATTTTGAACCAAACAAAGCCATACAAACCTCTAAAGATTTGTGAAACATGAAAACTGAGCAATAATCTTCAAAGCCTCAACTTTCCCAACTACTCCAAAATATCATTGCTATTTGATTTAGAGGCAAATCTAAAACGCCCTTTACAGTAAACTAGACTAAGACATTTGTGTATGCTAACCACTAATACCTTCTTTGTTTTGGTTATGTCTGGAGGAAGGCAACACAAATTCAACACGACCCTACAGCTTCTGGTAAGAAGTCTGTGCAAACTCGACACCCATTATGCAACCACAAGTGAACTGGTTATAAGAGCATGCCAATGAGCTTTTGGGTTTCCGACTAGTCTAGTGTGTTAATGAGTGTTCATCTGGGCAAGCGATGGGCCAACATGTCCTAACAGTGAGCGAAAACAGTCCCACGGTACCAGTTGAAACCTCTTACCCACACAATCTCTATTCTGGTTGTGAATAAAGCCCTCATCGCACATCTCATTCAGCCGCACACACTGGTAGGAACCCTCCCGGTTCACACACACCTCGTCCAGGGAGCAATTGTGTCTGCCGCTCGTGCACTCATTCACATCTACGGTACACATAACACTTTAGTTAAAGAGAAAAGGCACATGCTGAGATGCAAACACACACATACTGTAACACAGACACCTCCACCATCATAGAGTCGTGCTAGCATTTTACAAGGTGCGAGATCAGATCAGGTTTAGTTTCTAATAGCGAGGTTTGCTCTCAATTATTCAACCATTTTATTGTTGTTCAAAGTGGGGTTTTCTTTGTGGCAAAAATCGCATGCATATGTGGCTTTATGAATCTATAAAACTTAATGTTTACCACGTGAAAACAGCTTATGAAGAGAAACAGATGCCAGAGAAACTCCAGGGAGGATACACATGCACAGTCTCGTATTTTGAGCGTGCATTTGGAAGTGTAAATGTCGATCATAAATGGAATGAAAGAGAATACTAAAACATTTCATTAAAAAAACCCATCCAGTTTCCTGCAGAGTGTGACTTAAGTCCTTGGCTCCACAGCAAAGCCAGTCAAGCTTCATTTTTTTTTTCTGCCAAACGGAATCAAGGTCTCTGCCCACCCGCATTCAGCATATGGGAATGCTTTGACGGAGAGACGCAGAAAGAGAGAGTGAAATAAACTCTTTAAGCACAGAGGTAATTCAACAGTGAAAACTGCCCTCTCAGCTGAAGCCATTGCGATTATATCCTCCCTTAAACTGTCCTCACATGCAAAAATGGCACTGATTTACAGTTCCTGTCTCCTGAATCAATGTGAACATGAAGTAAAATTTGACATTCATGTTGAGCCTTAGGCAATTTGCATTTCAGTCAAACAAACACTATTAATCGTTGTTGAATGTCATAGTAATAAATTCTACCTAAGCTGAACTAAAACAGAGAATATGAAAGATTGGTTGTTACTTCTACATTTGCTTCAGAAGTTAAAAGCCGGTGTACACTGGGAAATCGTTTTCTTTCCTTTATGGCCTTTGCTTGTCATATTGTACAATATGATCCCAGTGGGATTTGGGGTGAAGGCCAAGGCAACATCAACAGTATTTTGTGTTTGGTCACAATTTAACATCCCGTTTTAATATCTTTTTTTGGCATTTACCACATAAACCCAAGTCCTTTGAATGTTTAACATAGAAAAATGGGAAAGTTTTAGAAGGAGAAGTAGTAAGATTAATCAGAAATGTAAATAATTTGCCATTGGTGAGCAACCATAAGCTAAAATCAACAATCTTGCATCACCATTTTGCCTAATGATAAAATAAATCTGGTAAAATCTGGTAAATTAAAATAATAATAAATAAATTCTTGAAAAATGTATTCACTGCAAAATAATTTTCGTAAAATGTTCAGTAGCTCTACATAATATATTTGTGTGTGCTGTTTATAATTATTTTGTATATATAAATACACACACATGCATGTATATATTTGAGAAAATGTGTTATTGATATATAAAATATTTATATTTCTATAATATAGATTATGTATTTATATATATACACAGAATGTAAGCGCAAATAATTCTTAAATATATACATGCATGCATAGGTATTTATATATACAAAATAATTATATACAGCACACACAAATATATTATGTAAACACAGACTTTTATTTTGTATGCGATTAATCACAATTAATTTTTGCACAGCCCTAATATATATATATATATATATATATATATATATTCTTGTTTTAATTATAATTTTGTTTCAGACTTTTATCAGCTCACAGTAAGGTGTCATACTGTAAATTACATAAAGAGCCAACAAAATATTGTTTTTGGATAGGTTTATAGCAACATCTCTGCATGGCAATTTTATTAGCACCCTCCATGACAAGTTTAGGATATGGAATGGAAAGACCTTGAAAAATATTGACTGCAACAGTATCATTACAGTAAATAAACATATGGTAAAAGTGTCAGATCAGACAGGAAGATGTATTGTGAGACAGCAGAACTGTCAATCCCAGGGCTGAGGTCATGGTTTCTTACTGTAGTCAGGGCTGAAGGAGAGTAATTAGTCATGGATCAGTGAAGCTGAAGGAAGCAGGTCCTCGGGTAAGAATGTGATGTTCAAATATCTTATCATGATCCTTTGGGTATTACTGTTATACTGTACATGAGTGATTCAGTCCAATAAAGGATTCGTTAGTGCGGTATGCCAGTTTTATCAGTGTTTTGTGACAGCTCTGTTGAAAAGAGGGTGTTTGTGTGTAGTTTTAGACCAATTTAGATTACCTTTACAGGTGTGCATGTCTGCCATCAGAGAGAATCCTGGGAAACAGGAACATTGGGCCAGTCCTCTTACCACAGAACACTGCTGAGAGCAGGGCCCATTACCTGCAGACAGTAGTAAATCTCAGTTAATACATCAATCACACTTCTTTTTATACATCACATTATAATTTCAATGGCAAGGATCACTGTTATTATTTTTGCGCTTGAATTATCAAATACACACAATTATGTCAAAATGCCCATCTTGGCGTATTCATGTAAACATTGCCGGTTACAGTATGTCTTATGTTTGGTGAAAACTGGATGTGTATGAGTATTTTAGATTAACACATTTGGCCTTAAAGTGACAGGAGCCTAATATATCTACTGTCGTCATTTGTCATAAAAGACAAAGAGAAAATCACTCACTGCTCTTGACAGAATGTTTATATGGTAAATGATGATTTGTTTATATATAAAGGCACAATATGTAATATATTTAGATTAAAATATCAAAAAAACACTAGTGTAGTGTTATATATTTTGTTGACTTGGGAACTTACACTATCCCAAATGTCTAATCCAGAGAAATCCGTAATTTTACCCAGTAACGGCCATGTTAATGTGCCATGTTAATGCGATTTCCGAGGGATTTACATGGAAACACTTAAGACAATTTCAATTATGTGAGCAACTGTTTGGATATATCAACAGAAAACAAATCATTGTTATTTAGCTCGATACGGTTTATTATCAGTCTTATTGCTTGATTCTCTTCAGCGTGTAACATGTTTGTACTTTAGAAAGGGCTTTATTTGTAATAACAGTGTAATACAGCATTTTTTCTGCCAATGTATTTTAAAAATAATTGCATGCCATTTAGCAACACAAGCCATCCAGGTTTGATTATTATGATATTCAAATATCAATATATAGCTAACAAGCGTCTCATATCAGCCACAGAGCGAACTCACAGAGTAATGCTATAACATAACTTTCAACACACTCAAATGTAGCCTATATTTAGTACTCAAGTTGAAGGAAGAAGGAGACGTGAACCAGCAATGGTTAAAAGTCACTTCAATCGTAAAATAAACAAACTGCGGAATAAGGACTCGATCTGCTCCAAGGCTCTCAGCCCCACTCTGCTTCATCTCATCCATGAACACGATTTCTGCCTTATTCCCGTCGGATTGCTTTCCATCGGCTGTGGAGGTATGACTACAACTCCCATGATTCCACTCTCATTACTGCCAGAATAGAGCTGCTGTGCTCATGGATGACCATAACAGATTTTATTAAAAACTTAACTATGATCAGCATGACTTAACGAGTCACCCAGATACATCCAGATCATTTCCGTACTGATTGATTCTCCAGAAACACGACGGTTCCCCAGACAAGACACAGACTTCCAGTAAATGTTTAAGTCCTTAAACATCTACTATCAATCCCAAACCAGATATACATTAAACGTTGTGGCATATGGACTTCTCTTGTGAAGTGCTTTCTCTTGGATGACTTGCTGGATGAGGAGGAAGTGGTGATTTTTTTTTTCTCCTCTGTTCAACATGTTTCAATTAAGAAAACATGTGTTGTGCAGAGCAATAGAAATGACCATACAGTACCTGTGAGGCTATATGGTCTGGAATTGTGTTAGAACCATGTTATGCGCACACCAAAACAACCAGTTATGTTAAGATTTGACTGAGAGGCCATTCTGATCATATTCACTTCATTTCAAATGAAGGATTCTGAGTTCTTCCAACCACAAAACATTTGCATAATGAGTCATAATGAACAAAGCAAAAAATATACTTTAAATGGTAAAAGACTAATACAAATTGTAAAATTTTATAATCAATATGTATGATATTTATATTTGACCACATTACCGGTAATATTTTTGATCCAATAAATGTAGCCTTGGTGAATATAGGAAACTTCTTTCAAAAAAAAAAAAAAAAAAATCTTACTAACCCCATTATGCGAACTTTCAACGCATTCTCATCCCAAGGCGTCATATACGACTCTTTTGCCAAAGCGTAGACATCCAACGCATCCAATCCCATATGGGGCAGAAGGCGCCCCCTAGTGGTCTAACCCTAACCCTACCCCATACCTAAACTTACCATAACCGAAGCATCTCATTTGACACTTAATGGTGCCATGTGCGTTGCACCAATCAGATTCAAGCATTCAACAGCCACGTAGTATAAAGTTCGAGCTCGTTCTCATTCCAAGGCGTCATATGGCTTTTGCCAAAGTGTGCCATGTGCGTTGGATGTCTACGCTTTATACTACGAACTTTATACTACGTGGCTGTTGAATGCTTGAATCTGATTGGTGCAATTATTTTCAGGGAAACGCACAGCTATAGTAGTTCCAGGAAGGTCTTGATCACATTACTGTGCCAAACATTTTTAGTTATTTCAAAGGTCCTTACAGCCTACTGCAAAAGAACCAAAACTCACAACGATTACGCACCTGCACATGGGTTATGAAAGACTGGGGGTTGAGTGGTGGGTTCTTGTCTTGCTGGAGCTACAGTAAGCAGCTTGTCTTCTTCACTAACCCTGTTGTCTTCTTCCTGCTTCTCTGTCAGAAAGAGAGAGAAAAGAGTGAAATTTTACAAGGATGAGTCATTCTTTTTCATTTTACACCCTGTCAGATGGTCTTTTTGGTAGAGGATTGACCAGATGCGAAATATGGAAAGTACTATTTGATTTGTGACATTTGAATTCCTTTCATTCCAAAAGTCAGCTGAAGAATGCTGGAGGGAAGTTATTTGTGGTCGTATCATTAGTTCAGTCCAGACATGAGATCAGGCGTCAAGTTTCAAACTGCGGAGCAGCAAAACACTATCTCTATCAACATTCCCATGTCACCAGAGACACAAAAACAATATTGACACATGATGACAATCCCATCATGCAGTGGTGTTGTTAGGGTTTGGCCGTATTACCAAGGAAACGGGACAAATAATTACAAACTGCAGTGAATCAGGCAAAACAAAGATAGTACCATCACTGTGCTAAGGGATAATTCACCCATTTGTTTTTATACATTTATATGTTTTCATTTTGGAGCTAGATAAGCCCAGGTTTTACAGGATATGCAGTGTTGTTTGCCTGTGCCTCAACAAATTCATTTTATCCATGTTGTTCTTTAGAGTTTAAAGTTTTGAAAAAATATATACAAGGATGTCTAATTCACTGACTCATCATAAAAAAAACCTTCAGTAGATTGCTGTATGTGCAAGCACGCACCTAAATGCAAAGTCACAGTACACATTGTCATTTTGAATCCAAATCAGTTCTTAGTAATGCACACACACTGCAGGCAGGATATTGAAAAGGTATTACGATTAAGTCCTCTATTTAAAGCAGGGCTGATGGAGTGTGTTTTTAAGTGCATAAAGATTAGACTTCATTATGCTGGGTTTTATATTTCTGGTCTGAAAGTCTAGGAATAACATGTACCCCCAATGGTTCTCAACAGCCTTTGTGCATATCCAAATAGAATATTTGTTGAACTAAACCTTGATCATCTCATGGTTGTAGTAAAGCGCTATATACATAAAAAATTGATTGATTGATTGAATTGATAAACCTGCTTAATCTAAAATGGTTCACACACAAAACTGAATCTACAAGCAAACAGGTTGTTCCTGAGTCAACAGAACTCAAAGAGGGGCTGATCTTACCTGGCACACAGGTGTGGGCATCCTGCAGGAGTGTGTATCCAGGGTGGCAGGCGCACAGGTAGGAGTCACGAGTGTTGATGCAGGTGTGATGGCAGAGCAGCGCAAATCTCTGGCACCTGTCATCATGCTCCAAATCCTCCAGTGAATTAGCTGCAGGATCCACATCCCCGACCGACAGCGCTTGCTTCGAAAACCGACTGTCTGATACTGAGGAAGGGGAGAGATAGTAAGATCAGTAAAATGGCTTGCATATGACTCTGTTTACATTACTGACATCAGTGCATATACACTGTCACTAGGGATGCAACAATATCAGAATTCTAATATCATAGATGAGCCTGATAAGCCTACATGTTCATGTTCATTTACTGTATGCTATGGCCAATAAATGATTAAAGAAACAAACTATAAATAAAACATGGAAAAAATACATCAATCATTTAAATGCTGCAAGTGAGTTTAGTCATCTCAAGATTATAAATGTACATTTGAAGCATTTAGGTAACACTTTACCTTAAAGATAATATAATAAGCATAATATATATTCAAAAAACACTACATAGAGCTAAAACAAGTAAATTCAATGTGTCATTAAAAAAAGACCAAATGCTTTGAAAAAATCATAAGTGATCAAACTGGACATGCTCAGTTCTTAAATAAAGTTCTTAATTTAATATTCCAAGTTATTTCATATTTTAAGGGTACACTAATCAACTTTTTTTTTTATTAAAAAATGACAGTGTATATCATGAGCGAGAATATCATGAATCCATTTGGGTATCCTGAATAGGTATGTCTATAATAAGTGTTTTTTTTTTACTTTAAAATGCATCTGACAAAACAGAAGGTTCACTTTTTTAAGTGAATTAAAATCTTTTATATTGGCGACAATATTGGCAGTTTTCAACAAAGGTTTTGATGTAATGATATAACATAACATGAAAATATAAATACATGTGCACATCTCAAAAATTTCTAAATAAAAAGTACTTTTATAACTATTATTGGGATGCATGCCATTTGGTGTAAACATAAACTTCCCATGTCATAAATCAGCCTAGCTGTTATTTTGGGAGACTTTCTGGCTTTGACTCACAGAAAGCATTTGATTTGAAGGGCCCTTTGAAGCATTTTTTAGCACTTCTGTCTGGAAAGGCACATCAACACAGATGCTATGATTGTTTTACCTTCAAAGTGCCCTGAGTAGATTTCATTTATACCATCTGAAATGTCCTGACAGCCATATGGGTCTACAGGGGTCCTCTCTATGATATTATTTCTTGTTTTATGGCGATTTGTTTGTTACAAGATGGCTTCCACACCCACACTGACTTTCGCGAAAGTGATTAGGCAGAAGTTTTTTTGTGTGGAAATATCAGTAATATTTTAACAAAATGGCTCCATTATTTTTTTTCCATTATAAATTAAAAAATGATACTTTTTCAATAATACATTTCACTTGTGTTATTTCATAGTGTCTCTAATGAATGTTTTTCATTACTCGAGGATAATGTCAACCAGAACGACACGGCAATGTCGACTACTTTCACGTAAACATAATACATATTAAAACACTCCAGTCAACATCTGTCATTCCACCACTGCCAGTTGCTCTTGCCATGCTCTCTGTGTCCTCCATCTGCCAATCACATTCTATCAATCCCAAATCCACGGTCATCGAATTCTACACAACAACTGACGGAGTTAATCATCAACAGGCTTTCCAACATCGCACACCAATTTGGCAAGGCGTTCGACTGACTTGGCAATTAGCGCCTGGCTAAACATAATAAACAGACTCGGTTTCACCTTACACAGCGCACTGGTGTAAAGTAAATATTTCTCACAGTCATTAACTGAATGTAAATGCAATGGAGGGAGAAGGAGATTAAACATTTCCGCTATAATTAATCACGTTACGGGTGTGAGGTGGCAGGGGGCCTGAGAAAGCATCCGTCATGGAAATAATTACCTCTCAACCGTTTCTGTATCGCTTAAACCTTTGATGCAACTGAAAGGGATTACATAGTTAGCAATAGTCTCCTTAAAAAGAAAAAGAAAATGCATTTCTTTGGATACCTCTATGGAGGCAATTTAATTGGACCTATTTTAGCGGTCCATCATCTGTATGTGCAACACGAAAAGGAAATAAACCAGTTACTAACGACACGGCCACGGCTAATCTCACCTTGCCTCAGGATAGGCTCTGAAGGGGAAGCAAGGCACTGGGCCAAAGGAATGCGCCATTTGAGACATAGCAAGAGGTTAAGTCTGGGTTTTAAAAGGAATATTGACCTGGGTCTATTGACTAAGGTTTTGCTGATAACTGAGGGAGTGCTAGTTGGGTAATGGACATCTGCCATTACACTGATATGACACTATCATGGCTCTCAGGGTGACCTAAAAAAGGCAGGATGTGAGGTGTTGAACAACTTTATTTAGCTAAGCCATATACAGGTTTAAGGCACTTAATCAAATTGAGGAAAATCTTCCTCTCACACACACACAATCTTAGACATGGTTCATTGTTTATTAAATCTATTTCAAAATAAAGAAAAAAATTTTGTAGGGTCTAAACTACACAGTCAGACAATGTGTTGGTCTAGATTTGGATTTTTGCGGTACAGTGTTCGCCAGTGAACATTATTCATGTATTCCAAATACAAAAGGATTAACTAAACAACCATTTTCCAAATTTAAATTGATTTCACACAATGAAATCAGGTTAGGGCAAAATAATTATGTTGCATTACCTCATTTTAATAAATTCAATTTAAAAACACAATCCATTTTTGGAATGTACACAGTCCTAAACTAATACCAGGTATCCCAGTGTAAACATATAGCATAATTCCAAAAAAAGAGAACAATGTTTCCATGCAAATCCTGCCAAAATGAGTGAAATTAGTCAGCTGAAACATTTGAGACTGGAGGAAAGTTTGCTGGCACGGGCAGAAAGGCAACAGCCTGCTTTGCCATCTGCTTCTGATTCAGCCCAGCTTGCCAGCATCTTTGTGCATTATTCTGAACGGTAACGTGACACCTGACCAATCAGCTCTGGGCATCTTTCTTTCCTCTGATCCATCAATGTCAACCTCTCGGCCAGCAGTGTGACGAACTTGAACGTGAAACTGAATGCCAAGACAAAGCCAGATTTCAGACACTTCCAAATATGATCCAGGCTTTGAAAACAAACAAACAAAATCACGACTAAGGAACTGATGTTAATAAGAAGACATCAACTCAAAAGTCACTGGGATGAAGAGATCACTGGGACATTGTGTTAAAAAGAAATGCAACTCAAAACGGAGACATTCCAATTCCTCGTGCGTTTTCATCATATGGTGTGTCTCCATCACAGCCATTTCTTGGCATGACAGCCCGTCTAGATCCGTTCTTCAAAATAAAATATGAACTCTCACTCACCCCGGACCCAACCACTGGAAATCAGCCATACACTACACTAGGTTACACATTGCAAAGCACAAGTAAACTCTGCAGTAAAAGCAAAACTCCAGGTTATGTAAAAGAAAAGAATTTCACCTCTCTTAGGAAGAGGAGTCGGTTGAGGTCTCTGTTTTTTCTTGATCGTGGGCAGAGCAGGACCTTCCTCGCCCTCCTCGCAGCACTTGAGGAAGACGTGTCTACATGGGTAACTCAGATGCTCATGGACTTCACAACCTTTAACTTCTTTCCGTAAACGCAGACCCAGTGCACAGCAGTTGCAGCAGTCCTTCATTAAACAGCAAAAAAAAAGAAATTTTTCACAAGTCAAACACAAGTCATGATGTGACTGTCGAGCACTAAGTCATTTGTCTAGTAGCATTGAAAGCCACAATTACTGTATGTATAATGTTATACACAAACACAGCCAATCAGAGCATTTTTGAGATTGAACATACACCACCTTTCATACTTTTATTAAAATTAATTATAGTTTTTAAATCAATACTTTCATGCAGCAAGGACCCATTAAACTGATCAAAAGTGAAAGTAAAGCTTTTGTAATGTTATATAAAATATTTATTTTTCAAAAGAATTATGTTTATTTGAACTTTCTCTTCATCAAAGAATCCTGTAAAACTGTATCATGTTTCCACTAAAATATTAAGCAGATTTTCAACATTGATAACAATAAGAAATGTTTCAAGTCAGCATATTAGAATGATTTCTGAAGGATCGTGTGACACTGTGGGGAATTCAGCTTTGCCATCACAGGATTTTTTTTATATATATATTAAAATAGAAAGCATGTTTTAAACTATATTAATATTTCATTTTTTGGTCGAATAAATTATCAACCCCAAACTGTTGAACAGAAAAGGAATTGGAGCAAGGTTTCACTATGGACTGGGCTACGCAGCTTGAACCAGCAGAAATAGAAACCAAACATTTTTTTTTTTAAATGTCCTGCTGCTTGTTGTGTTCACAGCTTGTTAAGACAATTTAGTCACTAATGTCTTACCATTTGGGAATCTTCTCCACAGAGCGGGCTGTTTCCCTCACAGGCATGTCCGGCCTTTGCTGCATTCATGCCAGCCTGACACCTGCTCTCTCTCAGAGCACCTGAACAGCACTGCTTCTGGACAACACTTGAACAAAGCAGAAAAAAATTAACATAATTTAATACCCATTTCTAAAACCAAGCCTGTCAACACCCTTTTCATTAGATTTACTTGTTGTTTAGAGCAGGTTTTTAAACTGGGGTCTAAGGACTCGCAGTGGACAGCAAAAAGAGTGCTATAGGGGTCCATGGAAAGGTTTTCAGAAAAGAAATGCACCACTGGTTAAATTTTTTTAAATTAATACTTAAAACATATAAAAAGAAAAAAAAAAGAAATGCATCTTATGCACCAAATCAGCATACTGAAGGATCATGTGACACTGAAGACCGGAGTAATGATGCTGAAAATTCACAATGTTTTATTATATTTTACTATCATGTTTTATTGTATTTTTGATCGGATAAATGCAGCCTTGGTGAGCATAAAAGGTGTTTTTCAAAAGAATAAAATCTTATAGACCCCAAACTTTTGAACAGTAGTGAACAGTATATTATATGATAGAATTATATAATATAATAATAATAATAATAACAATATATACTCTATACAGTATTGTTATATCATGTAACCAATCTCTTCTTTATTTTATTTACAGCCATAATTTTAAGTGTCTCTTCAGGTTTATATACATTTAATTGTTGGTAGAGAAAAATGCAGTGTATAGAAACGTCATATATTTCCTGAAGAAAAAAACAAATATATATATATATATATATATATATATAGTAAAATTGTCTGTTTATACATGAAAATAAAGCTGTCTTTTACATTTAAGGAAAGGTGTCCCTCATATAAATCCTCATCACGTTTACAAGTTCATGGCACCCAAAAAAATCAAAAACCTCTGGATGCTTTGGAAACTACTGGTTGCAACTGACCAATCAAGTTGCAGCTTTTTACATTTGCATCCAGAGAAAATGAGTATTCTCACTCACTCCGCTTCCTGCTTGACTGATTCCTCAAGGAAGTTGTACTGAGCAGCATAACCAAGGATCTGAAATGGTCATCCAGCTTACCCACACACAGAGCTGAGGTCTTCTGTTTTGACGGGCATACGGTCACAGTGCTGGTTCTCCTCAGCCCATTTCTGCCCGGCCACACAACAGCTCTCCACCAATCCTGGAGGTGAAAGTGCCAAGAGGACAACCATCTCACAGATCAGTTTTATCTTACATAAACCAGACAAAAGAATAGAGAGTTTACAGTGAACGCTTTTCTGACATGAAAAGGGCAGACAGGCAGACAAGAAACTCAGCATTGATAGAGCCCCAGAGGCAAAGCCCAACTTGGATCCATAGAAGAAGCATAAAAGATGTAATCTGCAGCCTTTGTATAGAGGGAAACAGAGAGACTGACTCAAAGACACAGACACAGTCATGTGCATCATTATGGGCGTCACTAGCACAAAATAACTCAGCCTTCAAATATTTGTCTTTAAAAAAGCCCCAATTTCGATAAGCCGTCTATTGAAGACGAATTTAAGGAGCATATCCGGCTGATCTTTCCGACAAATTGTGATACAAAGAAACAAGAGTAATGACTCATTTCAAACACTTGACATTTTGAATTACTCATCCCTCAGTGCGAATGAAGGCCTGAATTAAATTCAAATTGAACAAAATCAGTTTGTGGAAATGATGGATGAAAACCATAAAAATATAGTCAAAAATCTTTCTATTCAGACATGCTGTGAAACAGCAGTTAAATGAATTTTATATGATTAAATCCTATTACTTCTATGAGTGTAGAGAGTATAGAAATGTAGAGAGGATTGATAACATTAAGTATGTCTGACAAGGGTTATTTTAAAGGGTAGGACCATAAGAGGGTAAAAAAAAAGACTGCTTCGGTGTGATTCTTAAAGGGATACTCGACTTTTTTTGGAAATACACTCACTTTACAACTCCCACAGAGTACCGTTTTCGAATCCATTCAGCGGATTTTCTGATATTTAGAAAAATATCAGTAACCAGACAGTTTCTGGTGTCATAGACTTGTATATTTTTTTTCCTACTATGGAAGTCAATGAGACCAGAAACCGTTTGGTTACTGATTCTCAACTGGCTCTGCTTCAGAACTTAGATTTTGTATCCGACAAATACTCACTGTTAAAATTATGATAACTAGCCCGCATCTCCTCTATAACCAGACACATACATGATCTGTGAATTTACTTGGAGAAGATACTGTATGATTGTAAAATTGCTTGAGTGACATGAGGCCCTGGGATTCCTGGAATGCTTGAGAGGGGTCACTAGCTGCGGTTCCAGGTGACTTTTTCAACTTTGTGATAAACTTCCATCTGTACTAAATATCTCAGAAACAATAGGGCCTCTACAGCGAATCAGTGGACAGATGTAAGTAAACAGAGGGGAATGTCTGATTGCCTTTTAATGCAACCACTAAAACATACTAATTCAATGAAATTTCGAATCTGTTCCTGCTGAAAAAAAATGCAGAACTGGAACGCTTGCCATTCACAGTTCTTCACACCCCTTGAGTGTTTATTTATTAAAAATCTGGGCTAATTCGATTATGATCTTTGCTGCCAATAACCACATAATACATTTTAATTTAAAATTTCCAAAAAAAAATGTCAAAAATTCTGGAATTGATTAAACATCTCTAATACTGATTGTTCTAATTAAGTCAGACAAGGAATAATCAAGAAAAAAATCACTATTAAAAAATGTAACATGCTTTCCAAAGCCCATGAACAAGGGGGTAATGGTATCTCATCTATGCTGTTGGTTGTTTGGTTTCCATTGTTTTGCGCTAATGTGTCAGAAAATGCATTGAACCAAAATCCTGCTGCTCTTAAACATCAAGCATGATTGGGAAGAGATTGATTAAGTTGATCCGCAAGCAAAACCATAGAAAGGATGTGGGAGCACCATGTGTTATTAGTTTTCTTTGTGCTGCGAGTGCAGCAAAGGAAGTTCAATGCATTTAACTTTCATGTAGACCAAAAAAAATGGTGTGGCGCTGGAATCTTGTCATGCCGCACCTGGTTTATATGAAGAGTTCAGATGCAAAAGCCTCTAAATGCCATTTGAAATTGTCTTCTTTAATGATGATTTTTATGAAACCTGTATATTTAAGTTCAGTAATTTCACTTAAATAACAATTAATAGGTAATTATCATTGCCATTTAAGTGAAATTACTGAACTTAAATATACAAGTTTGATAAAAATCATCATTAAAGAAGAAAATTTCAAATGGCATTTAGAGGCTTTTGCATCTGAACTCTTCATATACTACACTATTTATTAAAACATTCTGTAATGCTTAAAAGAGTATAAGGTTTGTCTATAAATACAATCTTCCCAATACAGCAGAGAAAAACTCATTAGCAAAGAGTCTTAAGAGACAAAGAGTGACCGGTACTCTATTAAAGAACACAAAAACTGACCCCAAGACAAAGTCGCTTAGCAATCAGCTAAAAACAACGTCTCTGCTTTCCTGTTTAACTTTCACAGCCATAAAACATGAGTGATGCCCCCTTTTTGAGCCTTGAATTCTATTGGCATCTGTTTATTTGTTCAAGGGCATATGTTGTGTTCACATTATTCAGTGCATGTCATTTTATGATACCGTGAAAGCAGGAAAGCGCACACAATGATTCATAATATCTTTGGGTTTCCTTCATTTTACTCAAGTGCAACAACTATTAGTATTATATACTACTGTATGCATCTCGTAATTAATAATGAAATCTGTAAATGTAGGCTGCTTTTTTAAAAGATCAGAAAATGTAGCACGAGTCTTTCATTAAGCCCAGACTAATTTCGCAATGAAGGTCTTGCGCATTAAGTTAAACAAAGCTAATGTTTAGGCTTTGACTTAATTAAAACATCCATCTCAAGGATTTTCTTCAATATGCTTAAAGGCCTGTATACTAAGAGCCTGTTGAATTGCAGTATTGATCACATTGTTGTTGAGGTCTGTAAAACATCCCATTGATAACCCATGGTGATACATGTTTACGTAAAGGGGTGGCCGCTAAAACGAAGGCTGTTGCCATTGCTCTGTTAGATCATCATTAGGTCATCTGTAAAGCAGATGGTTACAATACAAAGCTCTCTTCAAAACAGGTCCTCTCTGAGCTCCCCAGATTTCATTTCGCCTTTTTGTTCACAGATGGTCACAGAACATCTGCAGGATCAAAACCAAGGGGATTTGTGAAAGCGTGGATTGAATCAGTGAACAGAATGATGGAAACAACTAACCAGAAAATACAGTAAAGACAAATGTGTGCTACATCAGTATTCTTGAAAGTTAATGAAAGGTATTGATACATGAAATAGAACAGTTTGGTTTGTAAACGCAAAAGAAACATTTAAAATATTGCCAGTTTTAGAGCAGTTTGGCTTAGAATATCAGCTTTTCATATGTTTAAGTAAAACAATATGGTTAAGATTATTTGAAGAGACTAACGTTTTGCTCTACATTTTGTTCAACAGCGGTCAACCACACACCGTATGTTACTCATAAATTCAAAACTGCTGTTCTAAAAATAATCCATTAAAGTTTCCCAAGAGGACTCATGACAAATTAGCCTAGGTCGACATACAAATTGACGTCAAGACTGAACAGCTCTGTTGGGTCGCACAAATACCATAATCAGCCACAAACGGCAGATTCAGTCACCCTAATGATCTCATTTTTAATCTTCTTAAAAGCGTTCATGGCCCATTGGCGTTCATTGACATATCTGTGATGACGAACTTGAGTTCATTAGTTGAACTTTCAGTTAACCATACTCCCATTTAACTAGTCATAAAGTCACATTTTGACCTCAAAGCGGCAATTGTCTGATCTGTCTGGGCAACCTTGAAGAGCTCTTGACTTTGGTTACTCCCAAAGCAGACAATGAGAGACCCATTGTTCATTCCCACAGAAAAACAGATGTTAAACAACCAAAATATTTATTTTGTTTTGTTTTAAACTGTTTTATCGAACGGCACAAATCGAATCCTTCCTTCCCAGTTTGAAGCAGGAAGTTCAATGTGAACGTCAATGTTAACGAGAAAGGATAAAATACGGAAGAAACATTGAACATTTCATTGAGACACTGTGCATGCATCATTATTCCATATACAAACAAAGACTGTATCATCAGCGAGACGATGTTTTGAGAAAATGGACGTTGTTCCTGCAGTTTGGACTTTAAACAAGATATTGTGGTGCTAAACACTTCTAACTAGAACCAGATGCAATCTGCAGATGCTTTTAGCAGAAATTGGTGGAGGTTTTGTGGAATGAATTTAAAGAGGGTAAAATAAATTAAATATACATTTGCCAATATATTTAATAAACAAACTAATAGGGGATAGGGGATAGGAGATGCATATTAAATCTGAGGACTTCCTAACACTTCCTAAGAATGATGGCTATTCAAAATATTGAATGATGGCTATTCAAAATATTCTGCTGCAAAATCTCAGACATTTTAACAGTGACAAATACACTACCAAACAATGGCATAGGGCCACTAACTCGCAAAGTACATCTACTTGACATTGAATGCATTTGAGGGCCCCAAATGTATATTTTCCAATGTACTTCTAAATGTGCACCACCAAAGTCGCTTTTTAATAAACAATATCTATGAAGTCAGCTCTTAGAACAAGTGCCTGAAGCCTTTCAATTTTAAGTGAGCATACCGAGCGTGCTCCGCTCATGAATGAAATCGTTTTCTTTCTAAATTAGTAGACTTATTTTCACATTATACCCCTGTTGAGTGGTCTCCATTTTTTTTTTAAATCAACTAATGGATTTAGCTACACGAACAGGTTTATGGGGGGAAAAAATAACAGTGACAAGGAAATTAGACATGGACATAATGCAAAACCAAAACCATGACATTTTCTGGACATCCTTTTCTTTGCCATTATTATAATAATTGGGCACGCACGCTTCATTCTTTATCTTATACCTCTGAGCCACTCTCTCACTCTCAACAATTCTTTGTTGTTCTCATTGCTACTTTTCCTGCTATAAAAAGCAATCATCCCACTCTAAATTGCTCTCTAATTAAAAAAATCTATTAAAAAATCTATTAAAAAACATAAATATTAAATATTTTATATTTTTTATATAAAAAAATGAAATGGTC